AATACCAAGATTCTCAAAATGCATTGTTGTCACCAAACAAAATACAACTTTTCATTTTGGAACTTAATGGAATGCATATGCATTTTTCTACTTAAACCCCTTAAGAATAAGAATGGTTTGGGTTTTGGAGTTAACTCGCCTTTAGGTTAAATCGTGGGTAAGCTTTGGGCCTATCCACCACAACGAAAAAGACAGTAGCTTTAAACAATTATAGCTAAAATACATTTAAGAATGCTAATAACTGATGTGGGAGGAAGAAGTTCAAGTAGTCCTCGTAAATTTGCTTTTTCAAGCTGGACAGTATTGATTATAATAATTAATTGTTTCCAGTTAGAATATTTCAAAGAACTATACGTGTTTGTGAAACAAGTAAATACGTTATCCTAGATGTGATCTCACCCCCCTACCCCAACTTATTTAAACGCTCTTTAAATAAGAACCTTTTTCTCATCCAAAACTCCAGCTTCGTTCGACCCGGTCCGGGATGTAATTTACTGGCGATTATATCGGTTACTCAAATCCTACTCATTTCGCATGCACCGTCCCCGTCTTGCGATTCTCATTATACTCGTAATCATAAAATATATAGGCTTTTATCCCCGAAGCTGGTGAGCGTAATTTCGATGTTCCTTGGCTTATTTAGGCGTTCGTTTGGGCTTTAATATCGGTTTCAAGAGTATATTTATGGGAACATGTTTGGGGGATTTACATCATCCAGGAGAACGAATATTTTTAATTAAATGCGAAATCATGTACTTCGTCGTGTTCTATGATTGTTAAAATACGTATCGGTTAAGTAGAAATAGTTTTTTTTTCGGGATATGGTATGAATATAGATAAACTTTTGAAAGTTATATTATTCAAATGTGACAAATTATTGAAAGAAAAACGTGTAAGGGCTTGGTTCATTATAAATATCTATACATTGTTATTTATATTGAATTGTACAAAATTGTTAATTAAACAAAATATAAAATGCCTTGAATTTTGAACGAATCTTTAAAACACGCGAACAAGTTGGAGAGTAATAGCAAACATATTGGCAATATATTTGTAAACTCTCCTCATCCCAATCTAGAGATAGAAATCTAATCTTATAATTCACGATATTTTCAAGTGTGGTTAATATACTTAAATCTTCAATCTACGAATATGACCTATTTTTAATACTGAAATAAGAAAATTATGTTTCTAGTGACCTTAAGTTGTAGAGATGATATAATAGCTGCAGGATAAAGTGTTGATAATATGAAATCAACCATATCATAATTCACAAATTGAACTTTTGCATGTTAACTAAAAAAAATTACTTTCAGTTCGACACCCGATATTGGTTACCTAATCTGTAATTTTACCTCAATATGACCCAATCCTTCCTTTTATGACGCTCCTAAAGTTACTAATCAAAGTATTTAAAATTTTAATTAAAATCTCTACCTTTATAAATTTCTAATAAACAAAAAGAAACACTTATTGAAGTTTCTTCCCCTCTAATGAAACACCCTCAAATCAAATTTCCGATACGTATTGTTATCTAACCCTTCACAAACTCGCTGAGTAACTCTGAATGATCAGTAAAGCTGAAACCCATGTCTCCAACAATGTCACCAGTGGAGCACATCTTGACGCGCTGCTCGCCATATTGTCTCTGGAACGCCGGAACGGAACAGCGGAACGTGGACCGGAAGTCAGACAGACTTCGGCCGTTCCTCTTCCGGTTTCTCCCTCACTGTTGTTTGTCCGTCCCCCACCCTTCGATTTTCACAGCTTACCATAGAGTCCAGTTATCTATCTTTGATCCAGAAATACGAATTGAGTAATTTTAGGAATGCATGTAAAACCAACGAACTAAATAACAAGTAATCCACTAATTAAACAATACCTGTGGTTTTACTTACAACATTTAACAAATATTGAAAAGCTAGATTTTATTAGGACGAATCTTTTGATCCGTCATATATTTCACTATGTGCATGCGATCCAAAGTCAGTGGTATTTTTGTAAAAGCCAAGTATGATGTAATAGTTAACCAGGGATGGAGAGGTTCTTTTAAAAATATCTTTAACTGGAGTTCTGAAAACAATTAGGATTTTGTAGGACTGATTATATTAACTGAGAGTTTACAGGCGAGAGAATATGAAACAAAATTTGCCTGATTGATATTTCGTTTAGTTGATTTATAAATTTTAAAAATTATAATGTTTTTTGTGTTTTGATAGTAAATAAAAAAATGCATTACATACTAACGATTAGTTTATTGTTTGTGTGGTTTTAGATGCAATTGTTTTAGTTTTATGCTATATTTGTTTCTTGTAAGTACTTCTTAAGAGAATAAAATTGAATAAAAATATAAACCTTTGGTAACATTTTAACTAGGCTCATAGATATAATACCCCAGTGAAATTTAAAATTTCTCCTCCTGTTTGAAATGTTGAAAATTGTTCTTATTTTTACAGGACAACTTTTCAACTATTTGTAAACAACATGTAGCTTAAAGACGTTTTTTTTACATATTATTATTACGTATAATCTGTACCATGATACAGCTCAAATTTAAAAGGTTTTAAACAAAAAAACCGTGGAAAGCATGACTGATGATGAAAGTGTTTTCCTTTTTAAAATGGGACCAAATCAGTTGGACTCAACTATTTTACTGGCCACATCACCTGTTAAAAACGGCATAAAGGAGTTTTACCATAAATATACAAACAACGTATAAACTGCCTAAATTATTATATGGCTGCTTGGGCCTCTTGTAAACGCACGACCGATGTGAGATGAGGAGGAAAAGGAGGGTTATACGAGTCGACGTGGCGTGAATATTACAAAAGCATAATAAAATGGCGATGATCGCATTTCCCGGGTCGTGAAATATTTAAAAAGGGTTGCTCTCTCTTTCACCCACCTGTTGTGTGGCGCGTGCATCCCGCTCGCTCTTGTGTGATTTGGAAATCACTCTAATATGATCTGTAATTGCTTTATATTCCTCAATATACGTTTATTTAGTCCTACAATTAGACCCGTGGTGGCGTGGTACAGTACTAAGTCCGCCAGGTACCTCTCACTATAGCTTGCATAGCTATACATTGCATTGAGTTAATTTAGTTTCTCGTTACAGTTCAACTTTTTAGCGTATTAAAAAAAATTATAAGTCCATTCAATCAGTCATGCTTGTTATATAACATTTAGATTTTTTGGATTCTACGTATTAAAATAACTTGTCAATGTTTGTAAATGTTTCTGAAATGTTTTATACGTATGTAACATTTCGTATGCTTGTAACATGCAAGTCAAAGAATGCTGTCATCAAGTATAAATATACATTACACTTTTTTAAAGATGTTTTATTTTTAGTTTTATATACTTTAACAAAGTCGCTTAAAACTGTGTGTCAGATGATGTGTTATAGTTCAAACATAACTTCACATTCCAAAATATTGAATACAATCCTGAGAAATTAGAATATTTAAAATATTTAAAAGTGTTTGATAGGCAAAATATTATTTCAATATGCTAATTATAATATCATACTACTCTACAAAATGCAAAACCACCCTTAACTTGACTTACGAACCTCCCTGAAGGTAGTATTTACCTCAAGACACCCTAGGTGTCGCGGCAAAGACGTCTAAAGCGCTCGTAAGCCACCCTTACAGAGGGATGTTTATATTTATATCTCTCTAAGCCACTAAGGCCACCCTCTTAGACAAACCGATACATTATTGCAGACCAAATCCCGCGCTGTAGTTTGCTCATAAATAAGTTACTCTGTAATAACCGGGCTCTATTGGCGGCCTTTGTACCAATTTAGAGGCCAACAATTTAGAGGCCAACTTGTACAAGGTGGCCAGTTCGCATTAATTACCTGTATTGTTGGACTCTTGTTGCGATTAGTCAGTCAGCAGACTGTTGTTCGACAGCTGTTGTTGTGCAGCTTGACGTGTTTACAGACCAGACTATTGTTGGGCGATTGTTGTTTAATAAGTAAACCCCTGGCTTGGAGCGGCAAGTGAACCGTTTGATTTTGTATTGACTGTTAATGATGTATAACGGTTTTGATTGTAATAAAAATATTACACAGTGGGAAAGAATATTATTTATAACTCTGAAGAATACTTTTACAAGTTGGTGTTCGTATAAGAAATAATTCAAGCCACGAGTAATAGCATATGATTAAATTAAAGGACTTAACTAATCTGTGCTGTGTTTAAAGCGTAACGTGTTTATAAAGTAAAATAGAGTTTTACTAACCTTCATTTGTCAAAATCAAAAGACATGAATCATGGCCCAAATTTTCATCACATCCTTTACTTTATGGTGCTGCTAAATTTTACTTACACGCCTATTCAAAATAAATTATTATAGATGATTATTGTCATTGTTTTACCTAAAGAATACATTATTTTTTTTGACTAGATTGCATTGGATTGAAACTGTTTCAGGATATATTACATTTCATAAATACAAATTCTACTGTGATAACACATTTCTCACTTTTTTGGGTTAATTTCAATAATCCATTATTCAATATGTGGTTTTATAGTTAATTTAATTGATTTTTATAGTTTTAAATTTTACATGTAAAGAAGACCAAAAAAACCTGAAATGGTTCGAGTAATTAAAAAATTTGAAAAAATAGTATGAAAAATAATTTAAAAAATCAATAACTTAATAGAGAACAAATATTGATCAAAATGTTAAAACCATAATATTTCAACATTCCGTTTACTTTAACACAAACAACTTATCCATGTTCAAGTACATCTCCAATATTTAACACCCATCTTATAAAGACATAAAAATTGAAAGACGTACGGTAACAAGACAAGTCAGCGAGGGCGTGAGGCAGAAACCATTAGTGGAATAATTGCACTCACCGGGGGGTCAACGGCTATGTCAACTTGAAACAATCGTTACTGCAACATCCAAAATGGCGAGTAAATAAGGGCTGCCCGCATGGCCAGTCCAAGTTTCAGTTTTGGGAGGGGGAATTGTCTTACCCGCTCAACGGAATGTACCCTCCATTATGGCAGATGGTAAGATTCCATACTTGAGGCTTGAGCATGCCGTTGTTCTACACCGATACGACTTGAATGCAGCGCTGGTAAACATTTAGGACGCGACCACTTAGTTGCTTATCTATATGGATTTGAGGGTTTATATTAAATATAGTTAATGAAGATAAATATTTAAGTGTTTATAGTTTGTTAGTTTAAGTAAATTTTCTTAAATGTTGGGAATCTCCAACACGATTTGGGATCAAACTTCATTTTGTAATCAGTAATAAATTCTGCATTGAGTGCAGGCCATCTACATGTTAAATTTGTCGGCAGATTTTATACCGAAGTCATCGTAGTTGATGTGAGCCGTCGACAGTTTGCTACTAAACTCTGTAGAATACACGAAATCTCTTAAAAAGTCAATCTAAATGAATGTCTTATGGTGAGCTATAGCAACTGTTATGACCCATCAACCTGGCCAGCAACAAAAAATTAGGGTTAAAATAGAATTTTATACACTAGCACATTCTGTGACTAACTCAATCAGCTACATCTTTTTTAAATATAAGAATGGTGACAGCTTGTCCATGTAGTTGGGGTGTCTACAGCTATATAGGTCAGTAGTATTTAAAATTGTCAAATGTATATTTTCGCTGAATCATGCTTACGAGTCTACCTCACTAATACTGCATATTAGGACGGGTAACATCAATTGCGTCATTGGGTCGAGGCAATTTTGAGTCCCATTAAGCTGTATGACCATTTACTTAATAAAATAAATCTGTATGTGACTGAGTAAAAACAGGCGTATGTCGTTTGTAGAGATTATTTGATTAAGAGCCTCAAATAGGTTTAAAACGAATAACTTTTCATGCCAATAACCCTGCTTGACATGGATCCCCATCTTGACAAAAAAGTGTACATCGAAAATAAGCGTGAGATGAGATTGATGCATTTTGCAGTTTGCTATAATTGTAAGATAAGCAGTTTCTTAAGCCATGACCATTTAATAAAATCTCTCTGATCCCAGACGGTTGGTTCCACTTTCAAAGTATGAACATACAGATTGTTCTACGTAAAGCCCGACTTTAAAGAAATGATTATGCAAATGATACCTCAAGTTTACTACGTTTTTAATTACTTAAAACATTTCTTCTCTCTAAAAAAGACGTTTACGAAGCTAGCTATAGCCGCTCCAGCTAAAAGTAAACAGATCCCCAAAATCACGTTACACGCCAGTTTAACATCACAGAGAGAAGCGAGACGGCGAAAGACGAGGAGGATCCCCCAGGCGGCCAAATATTTGGTGGGAACGAGACTGTATTTGGCGGGTAGTCCTCCCCGTGCCCGGGGCTCGACCAAACAGCCGCGATGATTCGATATCTCACTCATCAGCGTCCATTCACCGACAATTGTGACCCATTCAATCAATTCCTTCTGTTAATGTTAATAGGAGACGCATTAACGTGATTAGTGACGTCTGACGGAGAAGATTTGCCTCTATGTCTTTAGCGGGACTTGATTGTCTTATCGCTGATTATTGTCTAGTGAAAGGTGGAACAAGGTTGGAATGAGGTTTGGGTCTTAGGGAAGGGCAATAATAGATCTTAAGGTAATTAATTTACGAGACTAAATGTAAAACCGAATGTAAACTATATTGCCGTAGCTAACATATTTCATGAAATATTAATGGACTATTTTTAAAAACAAAACAAACATTAGGAAACATTATAGGAATAATACTATTATTATTGTTGTGCAGATTTTTTAATTACTGTCATAAAGAGTAACTATAATAACGACGGTGGGGCAGACCTTGATAAAAAGTACAAACAAAGATTAAATAAACGAAGTTAAGGTTTTTCGTAATATATTTATGTATAATAGAAACTGATGAAAAGAGTCTAGTGACCAGGACATGCATATTTTATTGTTTTTGGTGATTTTCTTGATACAGAACGTATAAAAAAAGACATTAAAACTGACCAATCTATGTTTGCCATTTTTAATACCTCAAGCAAACTTATAAGATTGTATGGATATAATTTTAATGTACAAGATATTTGTACCAAAGAGTGACTACATTTGATTGTTGGTAACTTACCTTGCGGTTGAGGACAAAGGTCGTCTTTTTCGATATTTTGCGTAACACTGCGTGGGTAATACTGGAACAAAAAAGATCAATTAATCATCCTGTATTGGGCTTATCATGAAATTCAACAGTCATCTTAAATATATTATTCTTATATTTTATATATGTGTGTATAAAACTCAGAGAAGATACTAATATTAAATATACATATACAAAGGCTCAGCTAAAGAAAAAAAAATAAATACACTCGTTGCAGCAAACCTCTGACTATTATACATTTTACTGATTGGATTTTCACTCAAATATTTTCTTCAACATGTCACATTTATTCTCTTTTAAATAAAAGTAGTTTTAATGATTACTTAGGTTTTCTGCAACATAGAGTGTCATAGTGTCAAGTGTGATTTTTTTAGAAAATGTTAACACCTTGGTATAAAATAGATATATTTACAGAATCTTATTAGCATATATTTGATGAACAAAGTAACTACAAAAGTTTACCAATACTTCATACGAATAATAAAAGAGTTTTAATAGTGTTTATCAATTTTAGCGAATTTCCCTATAGGGAAGTAGCTATTACCGTAGGTCTCATGGTAAGACTTAGGCCCGGGACCGATTTACTTTTTCATTTTAATGTCCCCAGAGGCCAAAAACACCATTCGTTCAAATTTTTATATATGTATATATATATATATATATATATATATATAAGTATATATATATATATAGATTTATATATATATATGTGTCCGTGAACACGATAACTTGAGTAATTTTTATCCGATTTTGATGAAATTTGGTTTGAAGGTGTAAGGCGGGATAAACTTGAATGAGTTCGCGATCCAGCATGATCGGACCATGGGAACAGGGTTTTATGGGGGGTTTTATGGGGTAAAAATTGGTTTTTCTCACTTTTTACCCTCAAAACACAAAATTTCCCAATTTTTCTCTAAACCTTCTTAAAGAGCTTAAAAAGACAAACAATTCAGTATATCAAAGTGTTTTTGTACGGTTATTGGTTACGGAGAAAACTAAAAAAATGGGAAATTTAAAATTCCCATGTTATTCTTATGGAGAATATTGTAAAATGTTGTAGTTTGCTTGTTTATGGATATATTTTGATCAAACTTGGCAAATTTATTTATTTTATAGTAAGCTATCAATATTTTACTATAAACACACTACTTTATTAGTTTCCTTGTAGCAGCAAACCTAGGTACTCGTTAAACCTAATAACGTTATTTAAATAGATCAATTGAAAATCAATTCGGCCAAATGGAAATTCGCTTAGACGGCAGGTTTGCTGCGGCGGGGGTATTATTTATAAACATCTGGCGTACAAAAACACTTTAATGTATTAAAATATATTTTCCTTAAATACAGAATGATTTATAATTTAAATTAAAAAAATCATGTTTATCTTTACCATATTATACCCCCGCCCCTAAATGGAAAAAATATGTTTATCTTTACCATATTATACCCCCCCCCCCCATTTAATCCCGATCCAATATGGTCATCAAACGAAAAGATAAAGCTGTCTAAAGAATTTGTTGGATTGTTATATTCAGCAAATCGACCCCAAAATATTTATTTTTCACCACACAATGATGTTTTTAGCTGTTTTACATACATTGGTGGCAGAAAGTTACGTTTTGCTGGCCATGCCAGCTGTCATCGTCATTTGGAGACCGAGCAAGTTTTTACATCCCTAGGGCTACAAAATCAGCTGCCCGGTTACTTTCTTAAAACATGAATGCATATTAAACACATAATCAGTATCCATAGTATTGCAATAGAATTGTTTTATTGTCACCGCTGCCTAGCAACTATTTATCGTTATTTTTGCTGATTCCTCAAATTATTTCTTCACATAACCCTTAAAGTTGTAGTTGTGTTGACTATCCGGGTGCATTATTATTGTGGTGAATAGTGGTAATAGGGTACAGTGTGGTGAAAAATAGCATTCGTACCTCGAACCGAAATTGTTTTCGGCCCTAGGTACGAAATATACTATTAAAAGCATAATGGGTATCAACTTAAAGCTCTTATCCTCTAGATGTGGCTTTTGCAGTTTAGGATGATATCCCGCGAAAGCCCTTCATCCATTTTCAAGTTTAGACGTACATTTATTGTTTACATCAAAACAGATGGTCACAATACAATTTTGTTTATTTGCATACGAAAATGGGATTAACGTTACAGTTGGTGATGTTTTAGAGAATTCGAGAAAAATATTGTAACGTTATTTGTATACAATGTAAAGAAGAAAATTACTTAGTAATATTTTGTGTTGTCATAGTATGTTTTATTGGGGTTTTACTTAATTCAAATAAAATATTTTAATGGTATTTGTTTAAAATGTAAAGAAGAAAATGACTTGTGTTAGATCTTATGCTTGCATAGTAAAAAACTAATTACAAAGTTATGTTCAAGGTTTGTTTGAAACATTACAAGTTAGTGATAAGTTAATGATTATCACGTAAAAAATAGGTAATTTTCAACTTAAGTCATAGCACTAGAAAATGTTTAATTAGTTTAAATATATCACGGATGTTGAAGTCACTTACTGGCTGCTTGTTTTGTGTAAAAATAATATTGTTACGAGCCATTTTAGAATTTCACATTGGTCGAGGCATACAACTAAAAATTATTAGATATAAATCTTTAAGATTCCCTGTCAAAATTATGCTCCAAATAATGAACATTTAAATAGTCCAGGAGGTATCTTAAATATCGTTTCTTGAAATTGTTAGTTTCAACATTTGTGAAATGTATATACATTACCAAATAAAAATTATACTTACTTACAAATAAACTATTTACAATTCAATATTTTCAAATACATTCATAGACTCCACCACGATTTCCACCAATACAGAGTACATCAAACGGAAGCTCGATCAAGACTTATTAACTAAATATCATCAGAGAGGAAATGAAGCGACGATGCCAGAAATATGGCTCCCAGCAGACATTTATGTGTTTAAGCCCTTTGAAGTACAGGGAGCACACAAAACGAAACCGAGCTCAAATATATCTAGAGCCACACACTAGGGATGAGGGGATCCCACACTATCTTGTCGTGTAACCCTTCCAGCAAGTCAACTCTGCTTCAGCTTCTCTTATATTCAGTGGCAGAGCTGTTAGGAAATTTTTTGCATATTAAGGCTAACGACTCGTTAAATTATAATTAAAAAATGTAATACCTATCTTAATTTTTTAAGTACTGCAACGATACAAAAAAGATGGTATGTGGTGATCGATTTCGATTGGACACTCCAATCATCATCAGACCCAATAGGCGAATGACTTTTTTGTATATTTACTGTCTTGTGAGTAACAGTATAATAGTAAATATATGTTTTAAGTGTTATAAGACGTATCTTTTATTTACTTTCCGTAAATTTAATAACACGTACGATGCTGATCAGGAAGTTCTCTAAAAATAGTTTGGTTTATCTACATAAAATAAAGCGAAATATTTTTCCACTGCTTACTGTAGTATTATAAAATACATTCCAATTTAAGATTTACATCTATAACCTTTATAATTTAACAAATTATGTTTCACAATCATTCTCAGCCAAATGAGGGGGTTTAGGGGAGTGGAGAGGGGGTGGAGCAATTCAAATCATGAGATTATAAAACTGATTTTCGGAAAAACATGTATACTGTGCTCATTGGGCTATCTAAAAAAATATAATCAGCAATCCATTTCCATGTCTACTAAAAGTTATATTTGAAAGAAATTCGGTTCGGAAATAGTATAGTGTCCAAACAGTTTGCTAATACATATAACCCTTGTTTTAGTTAGGACCAAACATCAATGACTCTCTTAAATTTTACCTTAATCCCATATCATACCTCTTGTCAGTGCAGTATTCAAAGTAATATTCTAATATCTCTAGCCTAAGAAATATTACGAATAAAATAATATTTGTCAACTATGGTAAATCTGCATACAAATTTTTACACTTTCTTATGAAAACTATTTTTCTAATTGTTCTGTTGAGCAGATCGAATGTCATGTATGCAATATGAATTGAGCAATGATTCCAAATCTGATTTAAATATATAAAATTGACTCTATCACGATCAACAAGAAGAGAATATTAACCTAATTTTATAACAACAGTCTAATATATAATCTAATATAATGCCTATATCCCCATTGTTTCTACCCTCAACACATTGTCGCCAAGGTGTCTCCAGTCCCTTTTCTCCTCCCTTGACGATTCTATTTTGTCCACGTATCTGTTCCGTATTAACGTCCGAGGGAGACATGATTAGAAGCTGTAGGTGACAGTAGTTGCCGGTAGTTCCAACTCCTTCCACCTCGCGGTCCTAGCGCCACCATCGCTAGCGGCGAGACGGATTGCTACCATATCGGGAGGAAGTTTTGCATTCAATTTGTTTTTATTGGTCCTTTCGGAAAACAATATAAAGTTTGAGGCGAACTTTTATTTTATAATTGGGAGACCAGATCGATAGTACAATCCGAGGTATAAAGAAGCGATGTTATTTTGTGCCAGAGTCGTTTAAATAGTTGACTACATTTATGAGTATTTTTTTAATCTAGTAGCAATATTTAAGTTAAAATTTTTGCAGGTAGTTTTTTAATAAACCATGCAAAATATACGTCTCAGGGAAATAATTCTGTTGACAACACTATCTAAAATCACTTTATCGCCAAAAATATACTACATCATTTAAATTGTATTGTACTTCAATAATTGGTTATTCAAAGAGGATCACTGTTTCCTCAAATGCATCTTACCAAAATCCTCTGTTACTTATTTTCTTTTACAACACAGTCAAGGAAAACAAAGTATATTGAAGACGCAATATCTTTTTAACAACTGTTTATTTCACCTACCACAAATTATTATAATTTGAGTATGTAGGAGTTACAGTAATACTATTTCGAAATATCCGATTCTGTAACTTGACATCCATTACGAACTATAATATTAATTTCTGAGGGTAGAGCAACCCCCAATGAATTTTCTTGAGCATTTGCACATAAAATTGGCGAATCTAAGGTTCCACAAATCATAATATAAGTTGTGTATTAAATATTAAGTTATATAAAACGACCATGAGGACCTAAGTTCGCCTCAATAAAGAAGGGTTTTCATATGTTATACTGAAAACCTTTTAATGCTTATTTTAATACATTATTTCCAATATTTTAGCCACAACTAACTCAAGTAAAATACAATCTAAAGTCTAAATTAACAAGACAAGCTAAAATGTGACTTCCTCGTTCCATTCACTGTTTAAACATCGAACCCATTCTCTAAACCTTTCTAAATAACGACGGCCTTATCAAACGCTAATCCGAAATCCATTTAAGGATCCAATTGAAGTTGTCGAAATCTTTTCAAGAGTTGTAAATTACGATGGAATCTTAAAGTGCCCAAAGTGTTTGAATGCGATGCTTTCTCTATAAATTGGTATCCTTCAGAGTCGCTATTAACATTTACTCTGCCATTACTGTAATTAAAGCGGAATGCCATAACGTCGTTTCCTTATCTTATCATCCCCCTTTCCCCTCCCGTTGGGGATGACAGGAAGAGGGGAAAGGGAAAGGAAAGAGAGGTCATCCGGGACTAGCTAATATCTTGCTAATTCCTATACTCCGCTATTTCTATAATCGCGAGCGCTTTTCGCGTACCACCTATTAGCCTCCATTAAGTCCTATCTCTCTCTCTTTCTCTCCATATAGTCTGTACTCGCTGTCTCTCTCACTCTGTACGCTTTACCCACTTATAGTCCCGTCAAAATACTACCTTCACCACCTTATTGCTTTACGTTGCGCCCCCCCCCCCCACAAGTTGCGTAAAGGTTAAGCCAATTTACAACATCCCTTCAGCAGCCTGATCCTGATAACCGGCACCACACGCGCGTTAGTGTTATAAGGTTATCCCGCAGGATCGTTGTAGATTATACGTGAAAGGCTCAAACCTCTTAAGTAACAACTTGATTAAAGCCTGGTAGGAAATTTTAGGTAAACCACGCTTAGAAACGTTGATTGAAATACATGTCTGGGAAGATATGTGAAATGAAGACTATCAAAGTGTATCTTGAACACAAATTACGAAGGAGTAAGTAGTTTAGTTAGTTGTGAAAGTATTTTTTCTTGGTGGTCTCCAAAGGATTTGTAATATTCCATTGGTTATCGCAATTCGCAAAGGGGGTTTCACTTATTTTACACACATAAGCCTACACCACAAAATCATAAGTCATAACTCATGGACGATACTTGAACATGTGTAAAAAGCCTGCTCTAGCTCCACATTACCTAACATTTTCTCAGAAACACATATGATAAGTTGAGTTTGTACTCGCCATTGAAAAATATCAAAACGTTAACACCAATATGGGACATGGAAAAGGATGGTAAAAAATAATGCGCCTAGCAGAACTAAGCGTAAAAAAATTATTATTAATGAAAAAGTTAAACATTTACATTAGTAACATTAGAAGTTTATCAATTAATTTAATTAATAAAATAAAAAACGCTAAATAAAACCCGTTAGAAGGAGTTAAAGCCCACTGAAGAGTCCCCAAAGAGTTTCACAGGATCATTGGGGCAGCAGCACTTCATAAAGATGAAGGGCAATTTGCAAAAACACTCCAAATAAAAGGTCTAAAGACACGATAGCGTTGACATACTTATCAGGAACAAAGGCCGTAATCTGTTTATTTGCGTTTTTCTTGTTCAACAATCAAAAGCCAACGAGTCATTTAAAAAAGAGGGGCAATGAAAAAAGACGGCAAACAGTAGGGGCGCTTCAAAGGGAAAGAATTCCCGCCATTTCCGAGTGTATCATCAGCTGTTGCTCCACCGACGTAATTTCCCGCGCTTTCTTTCACCGAGATTGCTTTCCTGGCGTTTATTTTTCTTGAATAATTTTAACCTCTAATTCTCCCCGACACCCGGTCAACCTGAAGATTCTCGATTGTTTTTGTTCGTTTTCTCTTCTGTTGGACTCCCAAAAGAAATGTTCTGTTTAATTACACAACTTTGTTGTAGACAAAGAATCTTTATTCAGACTTCTTAGAATTACAGAAACTCGGAGAAAAATGTATGGCTCCAGCTTATGATTGTAAAGATATAGGTTTACCACCAATAGAATAAGAATCTGTAAAAAAAGAAAGAGTTAGAGGTCATAAGTTTTAATAAAGCTTTGTTAAAAGGGATACAATGATTATTTAAGGAATGGGAAACACACGAACTCCGTTAACAATTTAAGTTTAATAATGACTATTTAGAAAGAACGTGAACTAAGTTTCTAACATAGATTTTTTATTTACTCTTTCAAATTAATAGATGCAACATAGAAGATACATTATGACTTGTTTTCCTATTAGTTCCGTGGATTCATTGGAGACAGGATTTGTAAAGCGAAGGAAAATAATATAGGAAAATTTAAATTGAATATATATTTGGTTTCATGTACTATGTTTGAGAAGGTTATTATAAGTCTATTAACACAGCAATATTTTAGGATAGTAATAATTACAGAAGTTTCTATCCTTTTACCATCTTAATTTCGCAGATAAACACTCCTAGGGCACAGCATAGTGTTTTAGAATCGATATATTGAAAACTCAACATATATTTTCACACGACGCACAAACACAATTAGCCATTTTTATCAAATTTAGAAGCGTCAACTTTTAGGTCTTCCATTCTAACGCTCAAACGCCAACTATCTCAAGTTTTGCTCAAGCAAATTCTTATCTACAAGTTTGCCAAAACAATGCCTATTTAAAACACTCGACAGCGACGGAGGCATTTCTATGTTTTCTGCCCGAACCCTCACAAACAAAGCGTTCGACAGATAAGACTATCTCTCCCCAAACCTACCCCTTCTCCCTGACGGAAACGTCTGCTTAAACTCACTTGTGATTAGTCCCTCGCATATCTTTTATCTCGGGCTCCCCGACATTCGACATGTCGCAGACTTTGGTCTTTTGTTTCGTGCGTTTACTCTCTTTGATTGGTTGCCGGCTTCAAAGCACCCGCCCGACGTACTGTCTGTCTGTCTAAGAACGGTACGGTTGATTGCTGTGCAGTACTTCTTGCAAGATTGGATTATGTTTTAAATATATTGTATACGAATATTTTATTCATATCACTCAATGGAATCTTTAAAATTGTCAAAATATAGGCCTAGTCAGATAAACATTTAAAAAAAAGTAGTATTGTATGAATATATTTTTCCCATGCATATGATGTTCTTGTTTAATCTGCTTGTGTGACCTTTGACTAGCTGAACTACCTTTAAGTCATCATATTATTGTTGTTTTCAACTTCATACAATACCAGAAACTAAATGAATACTTAACAACAAATTATGGAATGTGTGTTCGGTTTTTAAATTTTAACAAATACTATAAGAACGAAAATGTTTTCTCAATATTTTTTTTTGTAGATAAACCCTTTACAGAACTAAGGTTTTTATTTTTATTGTTGCTATATATTCTCATTATTTCTTTAACCAAGCAAGTAAAACGCAAATACATAATATTAAGCTCTTTCAAGATTACAATCAGTTATTCAATATAGGCTACAATTCCAACCCTCAGTTTTCAAAGCAGCTGACAAGTCCATCAGTGGTCTAACCGTGTCCAAAACCTCACTTGTACAATATTTCCCGTGTTTTCTCCGTCCTGGACGCTGACGTTTGGGTCTCGTTATCCCCCCCCCCTCCTTCACCCACAGGCACTGACGGTTCATTATTACACAAACGTCATCAGTTGTCCATTAGCGCCAAAGTTGGACCAAACTCTGGCAATCTGAATAACAACAGGCGCTGCGGTTGCCGACATGCTAGCATCACGTGACGGGCCGGGCCTTTAAACTTTAAAACCCAACTGAAATGTTAGACGTCGCGTCGGTGGGAACCAAACACAACGATGTTCTAAGCACGGATCACTAAAACTACTATATTCTATAATTTACGTTTATTTGGATTTTTTGTTGATTAAAAAAAGTGTCTATCACATTATTTTACAATCCAATTTGAGCGTTTAACTTAGGCTATATGTTATAGAGTACTGTACAAAACAAACAAGTGTGATGCATTTAAAACGACTATAGAAAAGATGGAGATTTAAAAGTGCACTGCGCGGCGCTAATAGGCAATGTAGATACTGTAGCCGTGTTGCTTCACGAGGTTTGAAGGAGTTCTCGGACGCAAGCAGTGTTCTTCTTCAGTTGGGCATTATTTAGCGTACATTATTTTTTAATATTGAAAACAACAACATGAGTGGTTACATCGCTTAAGAATTTATAGCGTGTTTGAAAATATTATGGTATAAATATTTTAACATTAGGCAGCAGTATCAAAAACTTGTTTTGAATAAGAATTTTACTAAAACTTCAAACTTCAACGAAGCATGTTTATTATCTTGAACATAAAGATAGCTCTTTAATTCAAAACGGTTAAATATATAAAGTAAGAATATAATTCTTTAAAAGATGTAGGCCTATATGTTCATGTTTAAAAATAACTTGACATAAACAATACTGTGGACATTTTTCTAAGTAGTTTTTAAAGCCAAACGTGTCGGTCGTACAATGGTATATTGATGTTTTCAATGATGACGCTCTCTTACGTTTACGTATTTGTACATACATTGTGTCAGTATCCCTCAAACATGCTACCAACCCAAACAGTTTAATTGTCCTGGCCAACCCATGACTTCTAGACAGGAGACAACGCGGATCAATGTGATGGTCCCAGGAGTCCTGTGCAGAGTGAGGGGAGAGAGGAGATCCCTCACCAATTATCGGCCAGGACCAGGACTTGGCGGGAAGGACTGAGGTATTTACCGTCCTGGTGATGTCTAAGAGCAAACAGATACGTTGATTGTGATCCTGCTGTATGTGGATGGAAATTGTGGATTAAGTTGTGTATGTGATATGATATTTGTAAATTTAACGTAGACCTACATATTGGTTCATTATTTTTATTGAGTATATATTAGAAAAAATAATAATGTCAGTAGTCAATAATAATACATATACATGTACAAGTCAAATAAGGGACATTTGAAAGAAAATTGTTTCACAATAAGGGATTCTTTCAAACAAGAAGTTGTTTACATAAGTCTATCTTCATTTTACCGGGGAAATCATCCTATAAGAATTTTTGTCTGTAACCCATAAAAAAACCATCATCAAATTACGTGAGCGAATTGTTTAGGTTGACAACGATAAGTTTTTTTTTTCTTTTTTTTTTTTGTAAATTGAGTCACAACGTTTATCCTAAATAATATTAAATTGAGTTAGCCTACTTTTTTATGTCTTAATTAAAGCGAAGGGGTTTGGAAATATCAGGATGTAAATTTGCTATATAACTATAATTTTGAGCTTTCAACGCAACAGACAAACAAAATCTACGAATCAGAGAGCTCACTAACGAAGGTGATAAGTTGAGAATCAAGATTTAATTGCGGTGACGTCTCGAGGGCCCTAGGGTCCAAGGGTCCGGGGATCGAGAGGTTAGGGTCTGCTAGGGGTAGTGTCCGGCCTTAATATAATATTTTGAGTGGAGAGAGACAGAGACGCGCACAAAAGGGGTCGTTAACGGAACGTGCTTCTGGATTAAAAGTTGTGAATGCGTCCTCATCTTTGACCGTAGCTGGAGCTCTCGAGGTGACCGTGGTTCTCTCTCTCTAACCCTCCTACTCACTTACTTCTCTATCTGTCTCTATCTTTCCCTGGTCATCTCATTGTCTCTCATTGAACTCTTAACTCAAACCACTCCATTTTTATATTCGTCTTAAAAAAAGAACAAAATCTAGTTATCAAAAGTTAGATAACATAGTGAATTTCCTAAGAACTGTCAAAAATACTGAAAGCATTGGATAAGGCGTAGGGTTAAGTTTAGGATGTAAAGTTAAAAACGATTGTTCAATGATGATAATTATTGTGACATTGTGACTGTTAAATACTATCTCCAGTGGATACGAGTATATCTTGCATTAACCTTATAGGTAAACATAAATAAACCATGCAAGAATTTGAGTAATCGTTCCTTTTTATTTGGTAAAAACTAAAAACGTATTTACCACTTTACCGCTGTTAGTTGGTCTAAGGCGGCCTGGGCTGACATTTTTATTTTAACTTAGTTTCCTCTAACCGTTCCTAAATTGTCATTTTTGTGGCTAAATTATATCCCAAATAAAAATATTTTTCGTAAGAACTGGATGTATATTTGTCTATCACATTTATACGTTATATTCTCGGTATTGGTAAAATATCGATTCGTTATTCGGTCCTATAAAATTTGGAAGATCCAAAAAACATAGCCCATCCTAATACGATCCATTTGTCCCCCTCAGTGTAGCCGATTACCATTTAAACCGCAATATCATAAAGTGGAACGGCCGAGCTGGTTTATTTCGCCCATTATGACCAGAACGGGGACTTATTGAATCTGAGGAGTTGGTATTCAGGAGCCGCGACAAATAGAGGACTTTCCTGAGAGTTATGGACTTATGGACCCCAGCTGTAGGTTTATGGACCGGACCTTCCGTACATATGTAAGTACGACTTCTGCCGTATGTTGTGGAAGGGAGGATTCAATTTATGAAAAATATTCTGAGGATTCAGAGATATAGACATAACTTTTTTAAAATTCAAATTGGCTCTCCACAGATTTCTTAAGTTAGTGTAGTGTTATTAAATTGACAGAATTAAAATATTTTCATTGCGTTTTTGCTGGTCAAAGTAGGTAGTATACTTCACACACAATATTCTTATTTTATTAAACTGAACATGGCATCCAATTTTAATATATAAATCCCTTTACAGTCGTACTCTGAATTAAAAAATGTTACTTAAGTTATACGGTGCTTTATATTAATGTCATTATATCATAGCCTTTTACGTAAGGACTGTGGAGGCGAGTGAGAGAACATGGCACATGACTTAATCTGAAATTTATAGAGTTTAAACAGCATACTATTTCAACCAGATATTTACAACAAATATAAAAATATACATCCTCAAAATATAAGAGACCTACACAATTTAGGCATCATTGACAAATAAGCATTTCCTAGCTTTTTAACTAAAAGTTAATACTATGGCTCGGTGGGGGTGAGTAGCCCTTGGGTCGAGGGACTGCGTGGGAACCACCCCAGTAGGGAGGCCATTATGCAAAAACTACCCTTAGGCATCCAAGGAACGTCCAGGAGTAAATCTTGGCGACTCCATTAGAAGCATGCAAATTCGGGGACGAATGTAAAAAGACGACAATAAATGCAAATGCAGCCAGACCGCGTCTTTCTATCAATATGTTTGAATTATTTATGCGGATGATAAAAACCGCAACTTTTGTTGGGGCGGGCACGTCTCCGGAATAACGTAAACAAGAGTTTTTGGAGGAAGGAATACTCTTATAACATTGAAGGAATTAATAGAAAAATGCACACGAATCAACAAAAATGAATTTATATTTATGACTTAGTTTCGTACACACATTTCGTATTTTCTTCCATTAAGTGTAGAAATATGTTTCATTGTTGTAAGTCTTATGCAGGAACCATAAAACGTCAACAAATCTATACATTTTCCCAAGACCTATTTTTCTGGCTCATAACCGGTACTACTTTAAAAACATACTTTAATGACCAATATATTTCTTTAAATAAATTTCTTAGTATTATTATTATGTTCCAAAATGAACAAAAGGATAAACAAATATTTTACTTTAGTTATGACTTTGATTATTAAAAAAGAGTTCATGAACTACATCATGAATACATTTTCTTTATTAGGAAAAGTAAAATATAAGATACTATTTATATTCTATTGATACTAAGAAGATGCAGCAAGAGACTTAAAGCTAGGAAGCAAGATGAAGGGGAGCAGAGCGAAGAATGATAGCTTCAGAGCTGGACATTATTGAATTTCCTCCAAAATTTGCTTATGCAAACCAGGA